TAACTAGCAACAACACCAAAAAGAACTCAACACAATGATAGCAATAAAACCTAACCTTTCAATAGTCACACTGAACGTGAATGGTTTAAACACACCGCTGAAGAGAAAGAGAGTAGCAGATTGGATAAAAATTTTTTTAATGATGTTACTTATTTGCAAAGATTTTTGTCTTTTTAGCCATTTGTTAACACACTTCTCTTTTCCATAAGTCATTTTAGCTGATATGTAGGAAAACCTGCTGTTTACTTTTCATCTGATCATTTTATTGAGCATTCAAATTAAAGTTTTCCATCTGATTACTTTTGATAATGATTTTTTTTTTGTTTTTCTTAGTTACTATTGTTTTAAGAGTTATGCCTGATTTTATTGGCTGGTATTTCCAGACAATGTTAATAAACAGGAAGGAGAAAAAAAATGTATATGTATTTTATAATAATGTTTCTCTCTCATATATACAGGCTGGATTCTAGTGACATTTATAATGAATTGAAAGAAACATACCCTAATTACCTTCCTCTGTATGTTGCACGACTTCATCAACTAGATGCTGAAAAGGTTGGCTGGATTAATTTTCAATATCAGTACCTTGTTTGTATATGAGAATTTATTTCCTCAAATTGAATATTTAACAGCTTTTTAATTAAGCTTATTGTCAGACCTAACTACTACTCTTGAGTTTAGTTTAGTATTCTTGCTCCCATGTTTTATCAGTCGAAATAACATTGTGAGCATAGTTGGTGTGCTCTTAACCTAAGAAAATTCATGCTATAATTAATTACAAACTATCAAATAAATAGAGGATGTTTTAAGGACACATTTTAAAGACTAATTTGGGAGTAGAAATTACTGAGAAAACTGTTGTAATTGTTGCCATAGACTTCATTATGTTATTGTTTACTCATTTTTGAGTTCTGAAAATGGGTTAGAAAGATTTTATTTCATCGATCAGTTGTATTTTGTACTATATTTTATGTGATGTGAGACTAAAGAAACATATATAGCTGATGAAGTTTCTACAATCCTAAAATACACAGAAAAGTAATTGAGAAAATACATTTTTATGAATGTAACATTTCACTTACTTTCAGCTTTTAACACTTAACAAGGATGTAAATTAGGCGTTTTCATGTCTGCTGTAAGTTTTATAGTAGTACTAACAATTAGAAAAGCCAATTAAGACATAACCAGAGCCTCCTGGCCTGTAGTTACAGTCCATCATCCGTTCCTGCTGAATTTACAACTCTTACTGTTGAGATAAGAGAGCTCTGGTGGCTTAGATATAAGGAGTTGCACTGGCAGTCCAGAGGCACAAGATTTGAATCCACCAGCTGCTCAGTGGGTGAAGAATGGTCAGCCTCCTCCCAGAGGCAGTGTGATTTACTGCCTCTGAAAACCTGTTGGAGAGTCAGTTCTGAATCAGAGGTACATGATAACAGCACTGTTGAAATTTTTAAAAAAACAACACGTTTAAATGCGTAAGTATATAGATTGATACATCCATTTGATTTTCTTGTTTTTATTTTTTCTCCCTAGGAAAGAATGAAAAGGCTTAATGAAATTGTTGATGCAGCAAATGCTGTCATTTCTCATATAGATCAAACAGCCCTAGCAGTTTACATTGCAATGAAGACTGACCCTAGACCTGATGCAGCTACTATAAAAAAGTACCTAACCAGTAAATACTCTTTCTTGCATCTCATTCCTTAGTTACTTTTTTAAAAATTAGAGTGTATTATTGCTCAGTACATTTTTTTCTGCTAATTATTAAGTCTTTATTGTCAGAGTAATTTGTACTTGGATACTCCTGCTGTGAGAATTGTATATTAACTTTTTAAAATTTTTTTTTAAAAATTTAGCAGAAGAAAAATAGTTTGATTTCTCTGCCTTTAGGTGCTGTCAAAAGGTTAAGGATTTGAAAGCTGTGATAAGAGTCTAGTCGTGTTGGGTTTTATGTATGAACTTGATACTTGGAGAAGGCAAAAACATAATGATGCTGTATGATACTATTTTTAAAATTATTTACTAATAGCATGAACTTTGATAAATGGCGATAGTTGTAGAGGGGCTTTCAGGCCTTTTGTTTATAGGGTCACTGTGAGTCTTGCTCAGCTCTAAAGCAGTCAACAACAATAGCATGAAAAAACTGAAATTTTATTTGTATTGTTTAGATAAAGAAGAGTTTGTGGCTTGACCTTTCTTCTACCTAATGCTGTATGTGAAACAAAGTCATCTTTACCCAGCCTGCTGTTAGTAGACTCATAAGCTACCTTAGCCTGCAGACATTCAGTAGCCCATATCCTCAAGTGACATCTGATTTATTGCAAGAACAATCTACCTTGTAGTTTTAATTAGTTGTTGTCTGTTGTTGTTGTTAGGAGCTTTCAAGTCGCCTGCGACTCGTAGTAACCCTATGGACAACAGCCCTAAACCTTGTTCTATCCTGTGCCAATCTTATTGTCTCTGATACACCTACCCCCATTACCCTAGTCACTGAATCAATCCTCATCGAGGGTCGCCCTCACTTGCACTGTCCCACCATGCTCCCAAGCATGACATCACTCTCTGAGGACTGATCCCGCTTTGGAACATGTCCAGGGTATGTTAGATAAAAGTTCAGAATCCTTGCTTCCAGGGAGCAGCCTAGTTTAACCTTCTCCAGGACGAACTTGTTTGTTTTCTTAGCAGTCCATGGTATATTCAATACTCTTCTCCAGCATCACTGCTCAAAGGCATCAGTTCTCCTTCTATCATCCCTAGTCATTGTCCAGCTTTCAATGCATAGCAAACAATCTCAATCTAATCAGTTATTATTATTACAAAATGTGTTAAGTCTTGATCATGTTAAAGCTGTCTTTCTCACATCATGAGTTATGACCTCCTTGACAAAAACATTGGTCTGTTTTTCTGTTTTAAAACTTTTTGACCTCCCTTCAGCATCTGACATTGACTGTCCCCTGTATTTTCATTTGTCATTGACATTTGCTGAGGAGCAATGCAAATAAGGTGCACAAGATACGTGATTCAGACCTTGTTCTTTTCAATTACTCGCTGTACACCTGAGAGTTGGACAATGAATAAGGACAACAGAAGAAAAATTGATGCCTTTGAGTTGTGGTGTTGGAAGAGAGTACCGAATATCCCATGGCCTAACAAAAGAACAAACAGATATTTCTTGGAGAAGATGAAGCCAGATTGCTCCTTGGAAGCAAGGATGAAGAATCTTCATCTCTCATACTCTGGGCATGTTTTTAGGAGATGCTACTCCTTGAAGGTGGACATCATACTCAGAAAGCTGGAGGAACTGTAGAGTGGAGAGGAAGACCCTCAACCAGGTGGACTGAAACAGTGACTGCAGCAGCGGGCTAATTGTGTCAGAGATTGTGAGATTGGCACAGACTAGGACAGGGTTTGGATTTGTTGTCTCGAGTCACTATGAGGTGTACTTGACTGAAAAGCACCTAACAACAACAGCATGCTTTCATTACATTTCTTTATTTCTTAACAATTCACAAAAATAATACTACTGTAAGTTTAATTGTATATTAAATGAAATGTTGGATATTTTTAGTAAACATTATGTTTCCTTTATCCACCTGATAATTTACACATTTGTTTTCTAAATGTTAGCACAGGAACGACAATCCACACAGAACTATAATAATAGTTCTGCTTAACTTAGTCCTGTTTAGCACAGGAACGACAGTACACACAGAACTATAATAATAGCTCTGCTTAACTTAGTCCTGTTTTCACCCTCACTATTTTTATTCCATTTTGGTTTTGGGGTGTTTTGTTTTGTTTTTATTTTAATGGCTAGTCTTTGGAAAAGGATGAACACTCTCTGACTACTATGACTGTCAAAAATATGTCATAAAGTGGAGTACTAGTTATTAAAGAATAAAGCTATAGAGATGTTAAAATACAGTGAGATAAAACTAGAAAGGAGTCCTAAGATGTCATTAAAATGCTAACTGTGAATCCAGTTTGTTTACCTTTTTGCCAATACTGGACCAACTTTTCCATCCCTGTGATTAAGGTATTTTTCCCCAAGTCTTTGCTCCAGCCAAGCTGAAATTTTATCAAACTATACAAATAGAAAACCACTTCTAGATTTTAAAATGCATTGCTTTACTGCAGGATGCTGTCAGGATTATTTACTATTTCTGATAAGTAGTATCTTTAGAGAAGTAGCAGCAGACCTAATTAATAAAACATTGCTATTTGTAGTCTTTGAAATAATGCTAGTTTTTAAAAATAAACTAATACACCAGTAGTTTCATCTGAGAAAGACAGGCAACCTCCTTCATGCAATTTACAGCCTCTGAAGCTCACAGGAAAGTCAACTGTGAGTTAGACAAAATATCTGAGTCCAGTTAAAGTGTATTTTAAAATACACTTACCATCTCCTGATAGATAACTAATTAGATTCTGTTCAGAAGAAATTAATTGAGCAAACACTGTATGCAAAGCATTTTACTCTCTACCATTAGAAAACTTGTTTTTAATAATTAAGAGGAAATTGCAAGACAGAATGTGATTAAAAAATAATATTTTAAATTGTAGAAATGCATTGAAAGGACCCTTCCCTAGTGCACAGTGTATGCATTACACGTTGGGCTACTAACGAAAACATTGGCATTTTGAATCCCCCAGCCACCACTCAGGAGAATGAGAAGGCAGTTTCCCTCCTGTAAGGAGTTACAGCCTTGGAAACACATGAGGGGTTCCTATAGGACAGAATCAGCTTGGACTATTAGCTTATAGAAAGGAGTACGTGAATTTCTTCAGAGTGGGGAGAACTTCATCAGTGAGTTACATGCCCAGTCTGACCAGGTCAGTACTAAGAAGAGCTTGTTATTGTTGTTCTTACGTGCTGTTGAGTCAGAACCAGCTCTTCAAATGTGACCCTCTGGCAGGTTTTCAGAAATTGTAAATCTCACAGAAGGAAATTATCCATCCTTCCCCAACACGGTTACTGGTGGATTCAGACTGCTTGCCTATGGGTTAGCAGCACAACTCCTTACCACTAGGCCACAGCATTCCGTAAGAAGAGATTAGAAAAAGAATAATCCAGATGTTGTTGTTGTTATGTGCTGTCGAGTCGCAAGCGACCCTATGTACAACAGTTCTAAACTCTGCTCTGTCCTGTGCCAATTTCATTGCCTCCAACACACTCATCCCAATTGCCCCAGTCATCGAATCAATCCATCTCCCAGTGGGCCTTCCCCTCCTGCGCCTGCCCTCCTCCCTCCCAAGCATGACCATCCCTCTACAAGGACCGGTCTCTCCTTACAACATGATTAAAGTATGTCAGACGAAGCCTCAGAATCCTTGCCTCCAAGGAGCAGCCCAGTTTACCCCTCTCCAGGATGAATCTGTTTGTTCTCTTAGCAGTCCATGGCACCTTTAGAACTCTTCTTCAACACCAAAGCTCAAAAGCATCAATTCTCCTTCTATCCTCCTTGGTTATTGTCTAGCTCTCTGATGCATAACAAGTGATTGCAAAGACCATGGCCTGTACCAGACACACCTTAGTCTCCAGAAAGATACCATTGCATTTCAGTACTTTGGAGAGGTCCCTAACACCAGACTTTCCCATAGCAATACGTCTTTTCATTTCCTGGCTGCTGGTGCCAAGAGTGTTGATTGTGGAGCCAA